TTCTTCTTCTTCTTCTTCTTCTTCTTCTTCTTCTTGAGAAACGAGAAAGAGAGCTTCAAAACAAAGACTGCAGCGCCATCTGAACCAATGCGCGGACTTCCTTGGCTGAGTGAACTATCTTGTTATGTACGATCTTTGATTATACTCAAGAGTCTGAGTTAAATATGACACCTCCAGTGAATAGTGTAGATAAACGAGGAGCTCCACAAAACACAACTTGAGAATGCTTTTCCCTTGTGGAAGGTTCCTATAAAATCGAGTCTGCTCAAGTCAAAAAGTTATACGACTTGCGTGCTCCTTTGGTTCAGTTGATGTCATGCTCAACTTTAAAGCTGATGGCCCCGTTTGGAATCTCCAATTAGGATTTCTTGAAATCAGACCGTTTGTAGAATTTCCAAAGCTTACAACCAGTGCAATCCAGACTACCACTACCAGTAATCTCGCCCGCACTGCTCACGACCCATTTGGCTGTTTTCTAAAATATAAATGCGAGGTTCTGCCTCTTAAATAATCTAACAGTATCAAAATAGGCTCATACACTTTCAAAACAGATTTAATTAAAGCGAACCGTTTTTCCGTCTTACTGTTTTGGAAAGACGGTCCTTGCGTTCCACACAACAATGTTCTCACATTCTATCTTTCAGTAAATTTCTTCCTTGGCCTTACAACACACTTAATACAGTTTACCCCTTTGGTGTTTATATACTTTCTTTTGTGTCTTTTATAAATTTACACAAACTAGTACACTTAGATTGTTACAAACACACACACACACACACTCACACACACATACACACATGCACACACGCACATATACACATTCATACACACATACACACATGCACTCACACACATACACAAAGACACGTACACACAAACGTAAACGCAAACGCGCATACTCTCTCTCTCTCTCTCTCTCTCTCTCTCTCTCTCTCTCTCTCTCTCTCTCTCTCTCTCTCTTTTATTTCCATTCTTAATGTCTGAATCCTCCCTCGTTCGAGGTTTCCACGAACAACTTCTACCACAATAGATCCACTCCATCTACTGTTGCGTTGAGCGTCTTCGTTTCCCCCAGCGTAGCAGGTCATCAGAGATGAGCAGGGCAATAGACACACAGTAGGACACGGCCGCGTAGTAAAACACAGACAGGAACTCACCAGTTGCCTCTATGATCACACCTGCAGAAGGAAAAAAGAAATGAAAAGGGTAAAAAAAAAATAGATTTCACATCACACAATATTTTATTAGATTTGACAGAACTATTAGGTGTGACCCCCTGGCCCCCA